CAGCTAATAACCCCATCCTTCTGTTATGTAATGCAATGATGGAACGTGCATGCAAAACACCAACAGAAGATGATTTAAAGTGTCTCATCTTTAAACATCATTATACCATTAATTGTGATACCCTGGTGCAATTACTGTAAACAAATGAGACCATGGACTAGATGATTGGTAGTCGGTATCTTGCTTCATTTCAGGGAAACACATAATAGTTGTTCATGTTAACAACATGTTTATTTTTCCACAGGGAAGAAAGTTACGACACCAGCTATGTCTTTTTCACTGTGATACACCAGTGGTATTGTCAGTCGAATTGAAACAAGAGATGTAGTGGAAGGTAAAGTTATATAAATCTGAAACACCACACAATAATAAGCACTCAGCTGTGATCAACATGAATAAATATTTCAAGTGCGGTTGTTACGACCCCCACCAAAGCTCGTTACAAGAGCAAAGAGTCCAGAAGTAATGCAAAAACATAAGTTTATTGAAATAAACATGAAATAAGTTTAACTCAAACAAAACAACAAATCTGATGGGTTGGCCAAAACAAACAAAAGAAAGGGAAGCCCTCCAGACCAGCCCACAAAGGGCCGTAGGATCTGGAGGCTTCCCCTCTACCCTAAACCAATCCCTAACTAAACAAACAGAAATAAAGCTGCGAAAACTAACTACTCGTCACCCAGACCTAAAACACCTGAGGGAAAAAACAGACACATAAGTCACCATCATCTAGAATTGTACATCATGACCAGCGGGGGGGGGGGGGGAGAGAATGTAACAGCGGTGACTTCGGACTGCAGTTCATTTTACTTTTCTACCTTTGAAAGAGCCAGGCCAGCTTTTTGTCTTTGTTTCCAGTCTCTGGACTGTCTCTTAGCTCCAGTTTCATATTTGATGGACAGATGGGACAATTGTGTTGTTCATCTCATGTTGTTCATCTCATCTAGCATAATGCAAATAAAGTATTTCTTTAAGGCTGGGAATTTGTCAATCATAGATAATCCTACCCTGAAGCATACTCTGCTTTATGGTTCCTCCATTTTCCTCTCATAATTTACTAAATTAACATTATGTTGTATTGAAGTAGACTTGAAACTAGCGACTGAGACCACAAACTATTTATGAAAGTATTAATGGTAATAAATCAGCTGAGAAGTAGGTTCTTGGTCTGTGACTGAACTCTTGACCTGGTCATTTTCATAAAATCTTCTTGTTACAGATAAGTTAAGGATAGAAACTTATATATATGTACTATATTGGAAGTCATTTTTCTCAGTGTTATTTTTCTCCTTTCACCTGAAAGCAATCTCTCTTTGTAGCATAGAGTAATCTAGCAGGTTTCCAACTTAACCCAGCCCTGCACAGTGTAAGATGTTGTGTAGATGCTATTGGAGTCTCAGTAAGTCAGGTTTCATCCAAATGTAGTGCAAATTCAAACCAATTTTTCAGAAAACCTTGCGGCGCTAATTCTCCTGTCAGGTGCCATTAAACCGCTGCAGAAGAAGAGATTGTGTATGTATGTATTTTATTCATTATGTAAAGAGCACCAGTGACGAAAATGTGACATTGAGGTTTGTTTCACGTACTAATTTGAGGAAGCTTACAGTCTCTTCAACGCTTCACACACACACACACACACACACACACACACACACACATTTTTATATTTTTGTAAATTGTATATTTTGTTTCTTCATCTCGCGGATGTTTCAGTCACATGCTTCATGTACATCACATCTTGAGGGGTCAAAAGTAAAACAAAACAACAAAGTGAAGTAAATTCCTTAGGTTGGCTGACACAGATAACTGCAGGAGATAAAGACAACCCAGTAAGGCTGATACGATCCTTTAATCCTTTAACCTCAGCTGTTACCTTTGCCCCATAGCAAGGACAAAATCCCTCTTCTCCTGTCTACTCTTTTCACTTTCCGTCAACATGATCACATCACGTGTGTGTGTGTGTGTGTGTGTGTGTGTGTTACACAACTATACAGCTCCTCTTGACTTATTGAAAAAGGACACTGACTTCTGAAGGCTCTGTGCTGCGTCTGAAGTCCACTGAGCTGCTGACCTCACATCCAGAGCTGCTCTGTGGATGAGACGCCCTTGGACTCTCTCTCTCTCTCTCTCTCTCTCTCTCTCTCTCTCTCTCTCTCTCTCTCTCTTTCACTTCACCCTTTTGTTTCACAACAAGACTGAAGCAATCATTGTGGAGGGTATTTAATGCCCCTCACTCTCTGTCTTTGTCTTTTGCTCTTTTTATCGCCTGCATATCTCTCACTCTCTCTTGCTGTCACCCATCTCACTAAACCAGGGTGACATGACCAGTCCTGGGTTGCTATGGTGACAGTCCCACTGGTATGGCGGCAGTGGCGATGGCATTCAACGGGTCTGGGTGTGTGCTCGCAAGTGTGTAATTCTGTGTTCTCAGGGATGTGAGTTGCCAAGTGGCGATGCTGTGTAGTTATGTGTGTCCGTATGCCTGTCAGTGTGTGTGTGAAGGCGTGTTGCATTGCAGCCTCCTGCAGATGTTCTCTGGCCCTAGTGCCTCCTGCCAGCTGCTCCGCCCCCAGAACACTCTCATTCACACACACACACACACACACACAATCTCTCTCTCTCGCTCCTCTTAATTAAGAGCCCTGTGCCATAGTGGGCGACTCAACGGGGGCGTGATGGCACACCATATACACACACACACACACACACACTCTCACACATGCACACCAGAAGTGTGCACAGTGTGTCTATTAGCTGCTTTTTGGTTGTGTGTGTTAGGGCGTGTGTGGGGAGGTGATCCACTGGTGTTGCCCTTGAAGCCCTGTGGTTGTGATAGTGCTGGTGCTGGTTGGTAAACAAGCAGCTAATCAGGCCTATGTGTCTAATCCACACACTCCACCACGCACCACAGGCAGGGCTACTGACACTAACAGTCTCGCTCTTTCTGTTCCGCCGGTGCTGAGAGGAGGAGGAAGAAGGAGGGAGGTGGGACAGTAGGAAGAGGAGGAGAAGCAGCCAGGATTTGGTTGGAGATGGGGGTGGGAGAGAGGAGGAGGGAGGAGGTGAAGGTGGAGGTGGAACTGACAAAAGTAGAGTGGAGCAAGAATTTGGAGGTAGTTCATATCAAGAGGTTGATCCGCTCAGTAAGGAGGAGGAAGTGTGGCAAGGCAAAGACACATGAGTTGTAGCAATGATGTGTGTAGTTATGTGCGTTCATATACCAGTTTATACTTCTTTGCAAATCAGGGTCTTCGGGCAGACATTAGCACGGGATGAAAAAACTCATACCCCTCATCCATTTATATGACACCACTGTGTTGACATTCAGGGGTTACCAGCGATGTAGGCTCTGTCAAACAATGCAGGGTCATCCAGCTAAACCTGGCTCAGCCTCTGCCGGCATGCAATGTAAAATCATACGGCAACACAGCGGGCTGGTCAATCAAATGCATGTGAGCACACATTCCTGGTAGACTGCTTTGTAAACTGAACAGGGTAATTCTGCTGGTTACATCAAAATTGTCACATATAAAGTTAAATTCTCACTGGGCTAACTTTCCAGAGTTGCAATCTCCTGTCTCTTAATGTTACGATGCCTGAAACAACACGCCTCATCAAGCATAATTTTATACTGTATAATCGATTACAAATACTTCAAAAATTCAAACAAAAAAATCCCTGCGCATCACCTCCAACATGTCATTTAACTTGCCCTGTCAAGTAGCTAATAAATATAATAATAATAATCTTAATTTAAGAAATAACGGGATTAACAGCAAGGACAACACATTTGTTCAATAAATACTGGCCCAGTAGAAAGCGTCTTTGGATGTTCTAAATTGTGTGAGGTGTCCATCATGATTTTGTGTCTGTGAGTGCACAACAGGATATTTTAAAGCCAATCTCTGTGTTTATGCCGTAGCATGAAAGGTTGAAACATAAACAACATTAGCTGACACTGGTAGAAGAATAACGTGGAACATGTTCAAATATTGGAAGCCTTTGTTCTTTCCTGTCCATGTAAGTCTAGTAGTTTGCTTTAGTCCAGCTAATGGAAACTCACCTATAATTCATATTTTGCATCTAGCTTGTGCAGCATTTCTACAAGTTGTGCAATGTATATAAAATTGAGTATATGTGTAAAGGAGGGTTACGGTGTGTTTAAGCAGAGTGTTAAATTTACACTGTTCTTAAATTGATCCTCTATTTGTTTTACCCCTATGCAATATGTTCTCCTTTATTCTATCCTCAGTCCCTCCTCTGTTTGTTTTAGCCTCATCTAGATTTACTTAGTCCTGGTGCTCATGTTCCTTTCTTACACTATTTTTCCCTCTGGTCTCTTTTTAACCTCACCTATCCCTCTAATTTCTCTGCTCTGTCTCCATCATTGTCTCCTTTTTCGCTGCCTCCCTCCTCGGCTCTGTCATCTCCTCTCCTCCTCTTCCTAACACACCCGGACATGACAGAACACCACGGATAGTTAATAATTCTCTAATTTCCGCTCTTCACGGCGGGTAGAAGGTGTCACAGATAACCTGATTTATCAGACGGCTATTAGAATGTGAATCAGGGGTATTAAAGCAATGGACATTAACGTGCACATTGTTTAAACTACGCCATGGGACTAATGGATTTCAAAATGAATTTGTCAACACCGTTCCCCGTGAATATAATTAGTCAAATGAGAGCAGAGCAGTGGAGGAGACCAGAGGAGTTGTATAGTAGTAGTTTAGTAGGAAGAAAAGGAAGTCATACACCAGCCATGAGGAATTTATTTGGTGGAGAAACAAACACTGGGTTCTGTGACTCTGATGAGTGTCGAGTGACGCTGATGGAGACGAATAGGATTCCCACTGAATATGTCAAAATCTGAGAATATCATCCCCTTTTTCCCTGAGGGTACTTCATTTTATGAAAAATAAACAACTTATTAGACATGCTGAATAATGCCAGCTGAATATCATTGGAACGGTGTCATTAAGTTCAGGGACTGACATTCAGTTTTGTTGCCTGTACTTTAATTTTTCAACATTTTCAGCATCAAAAATGGATGACTGGTTACGAGCAGAAGCAGAAAGAGAGAGGGTAACAGCTTTCAGAGGAAGTCAGTACACTTATCCGTAGCACTTACACACATACAATTATTACACAGGAGCATCGTTGAAAGGAAATGGCCCGTGGATTACAAGTTAAACAATAAGTAAAAGTATACATCTAGTGATATTCTTGTGATTGTCAGCATATCCCATGAAAAGACTAAAACCAACGATGAATTCGTAAGGAGGTTGATGAATTATCCAGAATAACAGGGACATTGTTTCTAGCATTTTCTTTTAAAATGTAATTTTCTTGTGCTGTGAGTGACACAAATGCAGTTTCATTCACCTTCATTGAGTGTAGACAGTATTGCGCTACACGAACCACAAAAAAATGTCTTTAGAAAAAGTATCAGTATCAAATGAACTGCATCTATAGATTAATTTACATTCAAAGGTGAATTCAGTGTTTCATAGTAGAGCAAAGAAAATCAATCATGGCCCAGTGGATGTTGTCAGTGGTGGCAGTGGTGACAGTCGTGACGGAGCCAGAATTTGACACAGCTGCATCCAGTGAAGAGTGAGGAAAGTTCTGCACAGCTTTGTACTGATTCAAGATGGATGACGTCTAGAGTTGACATGTCACTCTCCCCCACCCGGCATTGGCTCTGCTGTATGGTTAAAGTCATGCTTCAGTCATTTGCTTGGCTTGTGCCAGATCCTTTATCACTGAGAGAAAATTTTGAACTTGCACATACCATTATGATTATGAACTTGAGTAGTAATAACTGTAATGTAACAGCTGAAAGCACACCGAAACCCACACACCATGGAAAAACAAAGACATTTCTCTAAAGTGGAGATCTCCATTGAAGGAAGCATTTGAGACCTGCAATGAACTTAAGTCCCAACACGAACACACACACACACATACACACTTCCTCTGCCACCTCCAGCTTCGTGTCTGGGTCCACGGCAGGAGTAGAGTTGGCCGCTGTGCAGACAGGGCAGCGGGGTGTGGTGGGAGGGGGTTGAAGGGCTGCTGCTTGAATACTAATGTCCCACTTTAGAAGTCACCCTTTTTTCCACCCCCACATCCCCTCTGCTGCCCTCGTCTCTCCCTGCATCTTTTTCTCACTGTCATTTCCCTTCAGTCTTCTCTCATCTGCCTTCTCTCATCTTTCTGTTCTCACCTCAGCCGCTACTCTAAACAGTCTGTTTCTCCCTCTCTCGTCTCCCTCCGACATGTCTTCTCCGTCTTCTCACTCCTGTCCTCTTCTTCCTTCCTCGCTGTGCCAGGCTTTCCATCACCCACGCTCCCTCTCCATCCTTCCAACTCAAACCTTCCACCCTCTTACACTCACTAAACTCTCTCTTCTCCCCAAGATTTCTCTCTTCGCCATTCACTTTTTAAACCCACACACACACACACATCCTTGACAAAGCCAGCTAATTACAGGCAAGTGTCCACTCCAGCCCTTCTTAAATACCGAGCTGATTAATGAGACGGAGGTGTAGGGCCAGGAAGTCACACCCCCAGCGGGTGGTGATACAGACCCATGTCTCTCTGCAGCTCTCACACAGACATACACACCTTTCCTTTTCTCTTTCACACTTTACACACAACAACACAATTTATCAGCCAAGTACAGCTTCATTACAGAAATACTGGTATCAGGGTTTTTTTATCGCTCACCTCCTCCCTCATGTGTCTTAGTCCTTCTCCTACTCCACCTGTCAGCAGCAGAGGCAGCCTGTTGACTTTTGCTATTTTTTTGTACAGTAACTCCTACAGAGGAGTGCTAAGCGGTGAGATCCAGCCGGGGGGCCCCAGGTGTAGCGGGGGCCTCCTCTGAAGTGATGTCGGCTCATTTTCTCAGCGGCGGCTCAGGCACGGCTCACCATCGGCTCAAAATGGCCTCCGACACATCTCTGTGTCTGATTTGTGTGTGTGTTTGACCCTGAGGACCGGCGTGAATGCTGCCGGAGCAAGGAGATAGAGTGCAGCTGCTGCCGCTGAATGCTGACGCACATGCAGAGCGGCGAACGCCCGCACACACACACACCTGCACAATCACAATCTAGACTGGGTCAGCCAGGTTCAAAGCATTTGTATTCATGGAAGGTTTTGCATTGGCTCCACCACCTACAGTGTTTCATCTAACTGTGGGACGTGGCTTTCTACTTTCACACTCAGAAGACCTTGGACTGTGGTGGAGTGTGTTTATGGCTGTCTTTATGGCAGTGCGGTGCTACCTGAGTGAATGCACCTGAGTGAATGCATTTTTCCACTCAGATCATCCTTGTCAATATTTGAAGGTGCAGTGTTTTGATGCTCAAATTGACCCTTGTGACACTTGAACTTTGAGCTTAAACATGCTCATGCCGTGCACGTGTCAATCCTGATCCAAATACACGTCTGTCCACTGAAGAGAAGCAACAAGCATGCCAAGCCACTGAGATCTTCCACAGGCTGGCAGAAATATAACTCACATATAAAACTATAGAGTCATATCAAATTTACCCTTCCCTACCAACAGCGTTGTCAGTTTAAACAACAGTTTTGACAATGAATCAGGATTTGGCACCTAATCATTGTACTGAAACAGTTTTTTGAATAAACACTGACTTGGGCAAATTTCTATTCTTGTGTGATTAGATCTTACGGCTGCATTTGGCCTAGTTCAACTCACTGTTTTGTTGGAGAAGTGAGTTGGGCTCCTGGAAAACTTTCCTGTCCTGGTGCAGGTCCTTTTAGCAAAACCAAATTATTTTTCTTCGTTGGAAATCTTGCTTCCAAGCAGGTCAGCATGAGCTGTGGAGTACCACATATTAAGCCCCCTTCTGCTCAGCCTATACATGCTATCATGTCAGATTTTTCAAAGCAATACTATTTATAGCCATACATATGCAGACAATACTTAAATCTACATTTCTCTTTCACAGAAAGACTCCATTGAGTTCCATTGACACACTGTATCAGTTCATTTAGCAATTTAAAGGTTATATTAATCTTACTAAATAAAGACAAAACTGAGGTGATTGTGTTTGGCCCCATAATGAAAGACAGAAAATCCCTGCACATATTAACTCTAACTGTATAAACTGTGGGTATGGCCAGAAATGTGGGTGTTGTCTTGGACTCAGATCTAAATTGAAACTATTAAATCAGTTGTAGCATCAGCCATCTAAAAAATATTGTTAATGTTAGACTCTTTTCTGAGAAAGCTCTTAGGCAACTATACCTTTTCCAAAATGCATGTGCTAGAGTTCTTACCAAAACAAATAAATATGAACAAATTAGACCCATTCTAAAATGCCTGCACTGATTACCAGTAAGTCAGAAAATCCATTTTAAAATACTGCTTCTGGTAGACAAATCACTCACTGGACTAGGACCAAATTATGCTCCTATAATGTTTTCCACATATCAGCTGACTAGAGCACCCACCCACCCACATTTTAATCCTATTTTATATGTAAAGCGCAACTTTGAGCTGTGCTATGTAAATAAACCACCTCACCTTGCCTATTATCATAGAGATTACCAACACACCATCGCCTATCATTGTTAATAGTATCACACACCTGTCCTTACATTAGTGAGGAGTCTAAGAGGTGTTTGGGTGTAGACTTTATAATTCCAGTCACCCATCCCCTTCCTCTATTGCGGGTGTCCTGCTCCCTCCATCCTTTGCTCACTTCTTACTTTGTTCCCTCCTGGGAAGCTTGACGTTAATTCCCAAAGATGTCTCCATCACAAATTGAAAAATGATGGTGTCACCTTTTAAATGCTGACGTGACTCTATCTGATCATCTTTGTGGTAAGGGTCTGACGCACACACATAAAAGCACAAGAACATGCATGAATGCACACTAAGGTGTCTTCCTTATAATTGAGTTTAAACAAAGATGGACTCTTAATAAAGCGGGCTCGTTTGCCTCCTGCAGACAAGCAATTCTTTTCACAGAACAGCAGAGGTCCACCGTTTGTAGCTCTGCATTTATGTCCTCAGGGGACACACACCACAACTGGAAATAATGTCCAGTCCAAGAGGAGGTTTTATTCTCATATTCCAGTTTAACTCTTGCATTTAAAAGTTCTCCCTAACTGACATTGGATTTGCTTACACTCAAAACATACTATCATGATGTGGTGATATCAACAGTGTTGATGACACTGTTGTGGTGTAAAGCTGCCTGAGTGTGTAAGTATACTGTTAAAGACGATCTGTAATTTATGTATTATTCCATTCACCAAGAACCTCCGATGTCAATTTGTGTTTCGACAATATTATGTTTTCTCAAATAATGATTTGATCATAAAACTACAAAATAACACATAGCATCACCAAAAACTGAAGCGTAGAGATTCTGACCTGAAATAGACAAATATTGGATCAGAAGACATGAAGTTGAAGCAGAATGTATGGGAGAGTCTCTTGATTTCACTGATGGTGACGTGGGGGGGGGTTTGGAAGAGATATGACATTTCATAACTATTTAATGAATCGTTTGAATTCCGTATGAAGACATGTTGGCCCGTAGTGCATCACTCAACACACTTCAAACTTTAAATCAGAGTACGCAAATCCTGCTCAGCATCCTCGCTTGGCCTTGTGTTCAGTGTGGGAATCCAACTTGGCTCAGGCAACGAGGAAAGTTGGCCCAGGAGCAGTTTCTCTTGTTCCCTTGAGAATAAGAAATGAAAAAATCTATAAAAAACCTCACAACTTTGTGATAGTGGATAACGCTCAGTATCAACTGGTGATGCATTTTCTACCTTTTTCTTAAACCAAACCACATATGGTATAAACATAAAATGTAGTAGTTTGACAAAATAGTCTTTGAGCTGCATCACAGGTAGAGGGAGTTTTCTCAGTTTGAGTTTTGCTTTTCTTTTTCTTTTTTTTAATCCCTTTGCTTGCTGATGAAGACTGTGAGATGCGGTCAAAAGCGGCTGAAAGAATGCAACTTTCACACTCATGAAATGCTCTTTTTATCCCAGGAAATAACATCTTACAGAAGGTGTTCATAACAGTAGGCTATATGTACAAGCTAAGTTGAAGTAGAAACTGGCTCTTGTACATAAATGTATGTTGCAGTACCAATGCTATTGCTATGTCCATGATAAATAAAATAAACTTAAATACATCATTCACAGTTGTTCCCAAACAGAAATCTAAATGCAAAATGTGTGGATGCCTGTCAAAATTTATCTTCCTTTATTACTTTTAATATACCAGTTGACTACTACTACTACTGTTACTTGTTCTTCTTCTTCTTTGTATGTATTCAACATAGTGACGAAATGGTTCATTATGTATACACCACTGAAAACATGGTTATGGATCTTATATTGCAGTTTTGTCAACAGGTCCTCCTAAATATTACAAACTTTAACTGTCGCACAGTTTGATTCCCGGCATCATTAACTCCAGCTTGGTGTCGTATCCCAACAAACACAATAAGCCTTGTCTGTGGGTTGGCTGTTTAGTAAGGTTCTTGTCTTCTTTAGAGGTGGAGCTCATTGCTGGCGGATGAAAAGAAGCAACTGGTGGCGCCATTTGCCATGAAGGTAGCCCTTCCTAGACCAACAGTGGAGTTAGCAGTGACGACAACTGCAGTGGTGCATAGAGAATACAATTTAAAGCAAATTGACTGTAAAGTACACAACAGAACCAATCAACCAGCAAAGGAGGAAGTGTGTCTGGGACAAGAAAATCCAAAGTGGGAGAAGAGGAGAGAATAAAGCATCAGTGGTTATGTAGAGGACGTAGCAGGTTGACCTGCCATGGCATGGCACAGCATGGCAGGCTCCAATGAGGCTTCACCCACCCAGGGCTCCATCCCGTCTGAGCTGAACACAATCAGGCCTCAACCGCAAAACCGACTGCAGGTTACCATGACAACCCGGAGGCAATGCCTGCATGGGACAAAGGCTGCAAGGACCCGTGTGTGTGTGTGATTGAGACAGAAAGAGTGAGTGATGTGTGGCAGAGCAGGCGCGGCCCTCCTGGGGCCCTCATTCGTTTGTCTCTCGCAGAGACCACAGGAGCCCTGATGTAGCAGAGATGGAGGAGGGGGAGGAGGAGGAGGAGGAGGAGGAGGAGGAGGAGGTGGTGGTTGCGGTTGGGGTTAGTAGAGAAGGAGGACAGGGAGGGGGCAAGTGAAAGAAAGGCTACTGATGTGTAAAGAGAGGATGATCAAACGATGAAATGGAAGGAAAAAGTGAGAAACATTTGAATTTGGGGGACTAGAGCTTGTTCTGTGCCCATTTGTTAATTTACTGACCCATCAGTCATGTGTGAGACCTCATTCAGCCGAGCCTGGATCTTGCTTTAAAAAATAGACTTTGCTGTTACATTTTGGCAAATTAATTACACCAATTAGTAGGGTACTTAAAATGAAAAGTTTTAATAACCTGTCTACCACACTGCAAGTTGAAATGACTGCTGAACAACTCCTACTTGGCTCCACAGGAAATAATGAAACAATAAGTGCACTTAGGCACAGTCCGATCGCACCATTTGACTGCACCAAAACAAAGTGAGGAACTGCTTTTTAAACGTCTTTGTCTAGAGCTTCAAATGTTGGTTCCTCCCAGTATCAACTACCCCGATCATTCTTAGATTTTTCACTCATTTATAAAGTGTTCTCTTTGGTTTTTCAGGTATAGATCACACAAACAAGGACCTGAAGAAAAACTTTGTAAGTGAACTTAATATTACATTTTTGAACAATAACTGATGCCCGTTCTTATTTCAGCCGGGCAGTAAATTATTATCATTCTAGTTATCTCATGCGTAGATGCAGTGTAATTTCTGATCCAGTTGTCTTTTTCTGAGTTTATGAGTGCTGTTTGGTTGTGCAAACATACTTGGATTTTCATTAGACTGAAATCTGTGTATTGACTTTCCTTAGACTGCCCAATTACTTACAAATGAGACAATAAAACTTTCATATAGTGATAATGATAAAGCTGTTCCATTCTGCTAGGCTGGCGTTACACTGGATAGCCATAAAGCATATGTGCAGTGGCAGTGTTGTTTGCTCCTGCCTTGTCATATGTAATCCTATAGGCACTTTGAAGTGCACAGGCCAACTTGTACTTTGTCAGAGCAGATTGCCTGGCATGGATAAGCCTGGCTGGAGAAAGAGATACATAATTTCTCTTGTACAATTTGCTGCCAAGACATCCTCCTCCCGTTATGCCTATATACACTGGCAAATTCTAACATGCTCACTTTTATGAGACTCACAGACACACACAGACACATAGACACAGGCAACTCCTCAGTGATTGTCGTCAGTCAGAAGAAAAATGTTGACAGACTAATTCAAGTGCCAGTATCAAGAGTTTTTGAAAGGGTTCTTTTATTTCCCGTCATGTCACTCCGTCTCTATGTTTCTGTGTTGAGAGTTACGTAATGTTACAATGTGCTCCATTTGGTTTCTGTCTGGATTACAGGAAGCCCTTGCGAGTTTTGACGTGCGTGCTTCACACAGTCTGTCTCATGATCCCATGCCTGTCAGAGATGAGGAAAATAGGTAATGTTGCCCCGTGTGTTTCTTTACCTGGGAGAGTCAAAGAACTGACCAATTAAATTAGCCTCTCTAAAACAAAAATATAGCTAGGCAACCATACTGTTATGTAAGAATGAAAAGAGGAAAGTGTAAGATGAAAGTCTTTATTAAATTACAAGGACTTACTAGCTCTACATGTCTTGTGCCGTGAGAGAACAGAAAGCTTAACAGGCTTAGCAATAGTAAATAAGAGCTTAGCAAACGGTCAATTTGCCCACTGTAGGATATTGTACTCACAATGTAATATCACAAAATGATGTCATGGTAAATATGTTAAACATATTTTAAGAATCTAGTACATATACAAACAGTTACACATGTATTGGGTCAAGCTAGGAAATATTACAATATTTTAAGTGCTGTGTATGAATAAGCAATCAGCTGCAGAATGCTGTCCTCCGTTTGAGCAGTATCTTGGTGCGTGTCTGTACCATTTTCAAAATCAGGATATACTGAATGTAATTGTCTGTCCAGGCTTAATTTGGGGTGTGCTCAAGTCAACATGTCCAAAAAAAGAAAACTCACATCTCTGCATCTCATTCTCAGTGTGTGGCTAACATCTTATTCCCCTCTGTTTCAGTCACGGTACCCGGTGTGCAGGGGAAGTTGCCATGGAGGCCAACAACTCCTACTGCGGTGTGGGCATCGCCTTCAATGCCAGGATCGGAGGTGAGGAAAACAATATAGCCTTATCGAGACAGTGGGAGGCTATGAGAATGGTTTGTCAAAAGCACTTGTAGTAGGCCACTAATCCTTGTCACTATTGCGATAATGCATAATGATAAAATTACATTATAAAGCAGCTAGAATCTGATCAAGAAATGCCTGTAAAACAGTAAAAAGGTGTATTTGGTTGTGAGCGACGGTGTGTCGTTCGTTCATTTATGCAAAGACCTGTACAATTGAACAAAATTCATTCATTCATTCAAATTTCATTGCACTGATTTTTTGGCCCACATCCTGCAGTGATTACTAGTCCTAAAAAAACTGGTGGTAACAGCAAATGCAGTTTCACCAGTTTAATGCTTTTAATGTGAAGCTGCAGCAGTAGGAAATTTTCGGTTTGCATTAGCAGTAACCTAATTCAGCATTTATGCCGGGAATGCCGACACTCAGTTCGTGATGCTGCAAATGCAGGGGCTTTCACCTTTTCTGCCATGGACTCAGTCACCATTGTGTTACCTCATTCGGTGATAGATAGTGACATAACAGAGTTTTATTTAAATGCCAATCTTTAAGATGGAGTTTTGATTTGTTCAGAAATATTTGTATGTAATTTAAAGCAATGCACATGCACATTTTGTGAATTTTGTGTTTATGTGTCGCTTCGGGTTTGTGTGAATGCAACAGACTACAGGGTGACTGGCTGCTATTGCCGTGTTCACCTTAATTAACAGCACATTTTTTAGTGGGAGCTTCAGTAATGACTTTTTTAGTGTTGGTTTCAGACGTTTGGGTTCATTCATCCCCTCGGAAATGTAAACATTTGCAAGGGATGAATGAACCAAATACATAAAAGGTAGCCCATTTTCAAAGATTTTTACAAGATACACTAAGAGTGCTATAAACCACAAGTTAATGAGTGGTACATGATATGTGTGAGTAAGGCGATTTCCCACAGCACAACGGCTCAAAACCAATGTCATACAGCGGTGTCATCTGCATGAAACGTGGCGTATGAAGAAATTAATCTCTCGGTTGAACTCTGTGATCTTTAACCCTTATTTGTCAGAAGCTGATGAGAACCTCTTGCAGAATTGACAAAAAGGGGAAACTAACTGTTTGTGAGGCAAGAACAGGAATCTCTTTCCACAGTTTGTCTTAATTTCACCTTGCCGAGTCTATTTTAACCTTACTCATGAACAGATTCTTGCGCACATGTGATGAAGTGGCAAGACCCAAATGAAAGATGCATGTTGAACTACTGGGTGCAATTGAGACCTGTGCTCACTTTCTGACAGCGAGGATTACCTGAGCTTTACTTCTCTGTGTGCTTCTACATAAATTTACTTGAAACTAAATTTATGTAGTCCTGTTAGTTCGGATGTCGTGAATGTGATGAATCAACAGGAAGGAGACAAATTAGGCCTGATGATGTTTGTCACACAGAGATTGTTGTTTTTTCATTTGCAATGCATTTCATTGCAAGAAGATTATAAAAGACAATTCGTAGAAGAGATAAACATTTTGTAATAATACAGTCACCAGACAAGCTCTTCTGAAAATGTCTTTCACTGGAAATTCACATTTACATTTGATCTGAAATGGCTCCTCAGTTCAGTGTAAAAAGGAACTGGACAGTACAGACATGGTGTAAAGCAAAAGGGGACCAAGGCAGTTTTACACAGTGTGCAGAGCTGACCATTGTTATTCAAGCCTACTTATATGCACTGGGGCAGTTATGATAATGTATTGTAAACAAGAAAGCAAAAGTAAGGTTTTAATATTATGAAGTTTTATTTTTTTTCATTTATATGCATTTTTGCTGGGGGGGTCTGTGTGGTGCTAATTATATGTGCCATCTACAGTTAGCAGCTAAGCTAAGTTGTATGTGAAAAGGGGTTGCTCGTAACAAATTCACAAATAATTATCACTCTGCAGTTCTGACCTTTCAGCTCATTGTTTTGGTTTTTCCAGCCTACAACTTTACTGTTTTGGTTCAGTCTCACTGCTGTGAGGAGTAAAGAGTTCAGTAGACTAGCAGCCTGTGGGGAAAGCTGTAAGACCTTTTTCTTACTGTAGATGGTTGTGGGTTGAGCAGTCCATTGGAGGGGTGAGAGTAGTGTTTGATAATGTTGATGGTCCTGCTGGTGCAGGTGAGATGGTCAGGACTGAAACAGAGCTAAAAGGAGAGTGAATATTGGATTCATCAGAAACATGGCTCCATGTGAATAAATGTTACTGCTGCTCTGTGTCTGCTGTATGTGTAAATAGGCAACGTAAAAGGTGATATAATATGTCAATGCCTTGTTTAGAGCCATTGGCTAATATCAGTAAGTTTATCTTTAAATCAAGTTTAACCCTTACAAATTATTTGTTGTTATTGCTGGCTATACAGAAGCATAGAGTTTACACTCAGTTTCACTCTGTACCTAACTACTCTTTGTTCCTTTTGGGATCAGCTCCTTCTTTCGTCTGCCCATGTATTATGTGCATACTGCATATTGGGATGTTATTTTGGCTGCCGTCCTCAACTTTGAAAGCATACTAAGTTAGAGTGATGCCTTCTAGGCTCCCTGGAGGTAAACTTAGAAAATACTTGGCTCAGCTTTCTCTCGCTGTAGTTATTCTGTCATCCACCGAATATAACATTACATGGCGACCTGGGTTTCTGTTGGCAACAGTCAGATTGCAAATATTGTAAACAGTATTGCCACTTAGATATATCGTGTGCTTATCTGTAAATAATGTAATCATAAACGGTAAGGATCCTTTAACCATAAATTTGTTTATTAGATGTTTACACTGCTTAAGCTTTTGCATATGGAGAATAGACTATATTTCATCACGTTTTTTACAGTTTTTAGAATACTAAATGTTATTTTTGTTATCATTGATATAGTTTTTATTTTTCAGAATTTATATTGTGCATTGAAGAGTACATTTATAGAAGATAGCAAATTAATTAAACTATGGACTTTATTCAACATACATTGAAACACCACTGATTTGCACTGCAGATAACTGGTAAATGAGCATCCCTAACACCGCTCACACAGAAAAAAAAACAAGCATAGGTAATAAGTCTACAAGGACAGATATTAAACGTTTTTGAAAGGGCCTTTGGCGAATGAATTCAGTATAAAACCAAAAGCCATATTATGATCCCAGATTATGTGATAGCTAGTTAATAACGGTCACCCAGACCAGAGAGCTTGAAGAGCTGTCTTTTTAGCCCAGTTAACATCATTGTGTAATTTTAACTTACAGCTGATAGTGGCAAAGTTCCTGCCATCACTTGGATGGATGTTCATTGTCACAAAACAAATACCTAGTTTAAGTCAGCCTTTAATATTTCAATTGGAATAACCAGTAATGGCACAAATGCAGAGACATGAGACTAGAGCAAGAGCAGACAGAGACACAGACAGTGATGAAATTTATACAGCAACAGAACACAGAGATATAACAAAGAAGCAGACATAGAAACAGACAGGAGTCAGCGGTGTTTTCACAATGAGTGTGTTTGCACCTCCGCCATTGTGTCAAAGCTATGTTACTAAAATTCACTTTTTGTAGATGGAATATCACAATAACTTTAACAACATAAAAAACAGATCTTTTATATGTTTTTAAGCAGCACCAGGATGTGAAATTCTCTTCCGAAGTTTTTGAAAAGTGTTTTTCCTCAAGCCTCCCGCCAAACTCTAATCTCTCTGACCTTTTCGATCCATCCAGGTATCCGCTTGTTAGACGGCTCTGTCACTGATGCCATGGAGGCCACAGCTCTGACCTTCAACATCCACTTCATCGACATCTACGTCTGCAGCTGGGGCCCGCGGGACGACGGGGCCGAGATGGACGGGCCGCACAACCTGACAGCGCGAGCCCTTCGGCTGGGAACTCAAAAGGCATGCCTTTTCATCTCCATGTTCGCACTGCTGTCTGTCGGATGTAAAGCAGACATCCACACTGTCAGTGGAGCTGACATTGGAAGGACGAAGTGTTGGGATTATATAGATGGAAACAATTAACAGATTTCAGCATATCAAAACAATAAAAACAGTTTTACTGAAGTGTATCATATTCACTTGGTACAACGATGACTGTCCACAAAAGTTTTCATCATTTCATAAATTACCATCATTAACTGACCCCTATGTAAATATATAGAAATGTTCTGTATTTGTATAGCGCCTTTCTAGTCTTTTTGACCACTCAAAGCGCTTTTACACTACATCTGCATTCACACACTGGCGGAACAGCCGCCAGAGGCAATTCAGGGTTCATTATCTTGCCCAGGGACACTTCGACATACAGCCTGGGGGAGCCGGGGATTGAACCGCCGACCTTCTGATTAACGACCAATCCGCTCTACCTCCTGTGCCACAGCTAATATATATATATATTTTTCTTTTTTTTTTTATTTATGTGATATTTAAAATGCTCCGCTAGATGAAAACATTCTTTATGAAATCTACTTTTCACTTGTTTTTTCACTTTGACGTCCCTCTGTTTGTGTTGTCAGGGCCGAGGTGGGAAGGGCAGCATCTTTGTGTGGGCAGCAGGTAATGGTGGAATGCAGCGTGACCACTGTGGTGCAGACGGTTATGTTAACTCCATCTACACCATTGCCATCGGCGCTGTCTCTCAAACAGGGAAGCCCACCTACTTCGGGGAGCCGTGCCCCGGTGTGATGGCCGTCACTCTCACAGGGGCCAGCGTGGGAGGCTCACTACCTCTGGTTACTGTGCGTATACCATCTAACACATCTAACAACAGTGTTTATCATTAATGAGGTCGTATATATGTGTGTGTGTGTGTGTGTGTGTGTGTGTGCCAGCAGTCCTGCTCTTTGGCTCCTGTAAGCTGTGAGAAGCCTGTTAAAGAGCAGCCACCGGTGTGATATTTATAGAGGCCTGCCAAATGACCTAGGTGACTGCTGGGCACACGCAGACACAGAGAAGCAAACGAGTGTTAATTGGCTGTAGTGGCTGAGAAAGGGAGAGGAAGAAGCCGAGGTGTTGATGGCGGAGGTAGCAATGAAAAGCCGGGAAGAGACACTGTGCCAACTCCGGGGCTATAGAAACACAAAGGCAAATTTTATCAGTGTGATATCACCTTTGTCCGTTGGGATTCCCGCCCTCTTCTACCTCATGTTAGGAGGCGGTCAGACTAGGCACAAGTTGTTGTTTTTTAATTATCATCACTGTAAAACTGCGGTAACAAAAAACTCTATATAGTAGCTGCTACAGTGTGAGAACTCTACTGGCCTGATTTGCTGCAAAAAGCCGCATTCTTTTCCAAAAACCTCCCACAGAAATCCGCCAAGAGCAGCAGTTGGATAGAACAGCTCACACGTACCCATCTCTTTACTCTTTGTACTGATATGACGTCGACATAGTTCTGTCTTGTAACGTATTTGGTTTGTTATCTCTGCAGGTCACTGTGACCAACATTGCTGATGGCTGTGTCACACACTTTCCAGGAACATCCAGTGCTGCTCCGATTGCTGCGGGGATTCTGGCTCTTGTCTTAGAATTAAAGTGAGTGTCTATTGTCCCAGTCATGCTGCACACCAGTAATACCACAACAATAAATACGATACCTTGTTGATTTTACTCAGTGAGTTGCTCAAGGACACTTCAGCAATGTATACTTACTGTCTGAGGGCTTTCAATCCCCAGGCTGTGTTTACTTTGATTTCTTGGCGTGGTATTGTCAGCGTTAATTTTTCTCATATTTAAGAAAGGTATTTGCACCCATGTCACTCCTTAACACCTTGTCTTCTCTGAAGAAGAAAGCTTTGTTGGACATATTTTTCCCATCAGTCCATACCTGCCTTCAGTATGCGTTGTTGCCAAAACATCTGAAATCTTCAGCTACATTTGTTCTAGAAGCATACGCACACACAGTACCGTCCACCTGTTTCGTGCTGTAAAGATGTTTTGCTTTCTGCCTGAAATCAATACAAATCTAACTAGGTAGCACACAACTTAAAATGCACTGACTACGGCTCCAACTAATGATAATGATAATGGTTATAGCATGAATAGTGGCTCAAGGGATGGGAATGTTGGTCTGCCAGTCAGTCATTTCCAATACTTAACAAGATTGAAATACCTAAAAAGAAAAAAATCTATTGGATTGCTGTCAAATTTGGTACATTCATGGTGCTCAGAAGATGAATCCTACTGACTTTGGTGGTCCCCTGACTTTTCAGCTAGCGCCACCAGCAGGTCAAAGTTTTCATTTGTCCAGTGAAAAATCTCAATATGAACTTGATGAACGAAATTCCCTGACTTTTTCTTCGGGTCAGAATTTCATTTTGTTCAAGATTTTGGTCTTGTTTCATTAGCCTTTTTCTTCCCTGGATTAGTGCAGTTGCCAGAAAATCTGAATCAAAACTGTCTTGATAGCACAGCGCCCTCCTCCTGCTTTATGTAGTAAAGCAGTGGTCCTTTCTGCTGTAAAGTAATCAGACCGCTTGACTTTCCTTTTCAGTTAATCTAAAATTTATTTTTGCAGTTCTCAATAAGTGTTTCATGTATAAAATGTCAGGAAACATAAAATGAAAAATCAGTTTCCCAGGGCCAAAGGTGATGTCTTCGCATACATTGTTTAGTCCGACTGATGGTCCAAATCTAAAAAGACAAAGTGTTTAAGCCATTTATAAGCCTGTGTTTTGAACACAGGCTTATAAATGGCTTAAACAATTGCTCAGTTATCATCACTTCATTCATTAAAAGAGACCTTGCACCCTGAAGCTGGACCTCGTCTCTCCTCCCCATTTACCCTTCTCCCTCTTTGTTGTTTTGTTCCCTCCTTTGATGTAGATCATCTTTCGCTCCTGCCCATTCTCTCTGTGTCTGTCTGAATCTGCAAATATATCTCCTCGCTCTTTCTTCTTCTCCTTTGTCTTGTCTGCCACTTCCTACCATTTCCCAAATCCCCTTTTTCTTCATCCCTCCTAACACGCCAGCTGTCGGTGTGGCCTCGGGCCTGGTGTTTTGTGGCGGTATCAGCAGCGTCTACACCTCCTTCATGTTATGGATGGTACTAGAGGCCAGCTTTACTGCTCCAGCTGTCATGCCACGGCGTCTCAGTCTCAGTCGCTTGGCTGTAAAATGGAGCGCGGGTCCCCTGGGCGAGGCAACTCCCAGGACATTACTGTTAAAGGCTTTGTCGTGACCCGCTGCTACTGACTAAACTATATATCACCTCTCTCGCTCAGATAGGCAGAATTCTGCTCACGTCTTCATGGAGCTCGGTTCTCTCTCTCTGTCTCTATATCTTTCTGGGTCTCTCTCTCTCTCTCTTTCTGTGTTTCTCACACTTGCTCATTCTGGGTCTCTTTTTCTCCCCACATTTCACACAATCACACTCACTCATATATTCTGCCGTACTCTCTCTCACACATGCAAACCTTTTTTTTTCTGAACCCTATTCATCAGAAACAACCTGCCTCTTATATAGACTCCACAAGCACCAAAGCATTTGAATAGACAAACATGAGGGTACATTTAATGAATATCTTTTTATTTTCATGACAAAGATATGTTTCCAGAATTGTACCTTTTTTCCCCACCCAGCTGTACTTTATGTTTACAGTTAATTAGCAAATATTTGCATGCTAAACTAAGATGGTGGACATGGCTAACATTACAATCACTAAACATCAGCATGTTAACATTTCCATCATTTGCTTTCTGACATTTAGCTGAAAGCTTCTTTGACTTAAGACTCTAATAATAATAATGAAAGTGTAATATTAGCCAAATGTAGAATGGTGTACAGCAGTGGTCGGCACTTAAGGCCTCTTAAGTGATTGTGACTCCAAAATAAAAGCACAAGAATTTTTTTTTAAGCAATGCTTCATTTATTAAGACCTTTTACTTTGAAAAATTCTGAAGGACATTCGAAAGAGTCTCTGGCTTACTTGACACACCTCTGTAAAAGCTGTCCGTAAACGTGTGATTGGATTCCCCTGAATTTCCTCAGGGAAATGAAAATTAGTGTTCACAGGTTTATGAATGCGGATCAAACACCGGGACGCACACACACTGCAGCACATGCTTTATTACGAGTATGTGCAAAAGTGTCCTTATGGGCTATTCAATTTGTTTAACAAGGGTGAAAAAAAAGTCCACCGGACATTGGGATCGATCATACAACTCCTCCAATGGGAGTCCCGACTGAGCTACACGTGCACATGAGTAGCCCCTGTCCAAGGGTTTGAAATAATTTTACTGAAATAATGTTCATGTAACGGCTTGAAAAACGTTTGGCCTGATGTCAGACTTATTTGCCGACCCCTGGTGTACAGCATTGATCCAACCCACTACTAGGCTACATTCACACTTCTACGTTTTTGTTTTAAAACGAAAACAATCTCCGTCGACTCCAGTGTTTTAGCTACATATCAGAATTGATCTCTGTCTATATTAAAACGTCTGAAAACGTACATCCAGGGGCCATAAATGTACAGTTTGCATATGCTTGCCAGTGTAAGCAGGAAGCAGATTGTCTGCTCCGCAGTTGCAGAAGATTCAGAGAAAGAAGAAATTACTGCTATAGACAAATCAAGAATAGTGGCGAATAACCACACCAGAGATTTCTTTGTGAGGACCGTCAATGAGGTAGAACTGTTACTGAAAGTAACATGGGAGTACAAACCAACTGTGGTGGTAGAGAACAGACTCGGAGTCGTCGCAAAGCAAATACAGCGATATGCACAGTACAAGCGTCTAAGTGTTATTTGCACAGTAGCCTACAAAATATTTGATTAAAAATACCAAAACTAAAAGACTGTCAGTAGCAACGTGTTGACCCAATCAGGAAGCCAATCATGAGTGTCTGCGTCATTGTTTTTAAAGTCCTTCGTTTTCCCCTGTCCGCACTAATACGCATCCACAGAGTTTTAAAATGAAAACGAGGTCGGCAACATTTTCAAATCTTCAAATCAGTTTTAGGTGTTTGGATTCGTGTCTGGACAGCAGGTGCAAACATAGAAAAAGATCTGCGTTTTAAAACAAAAATGTAGTAGTGTGGACAGGGTGGAAATTAACACCCGGCAAGCGCCAAATGCGGGTAGATTTTACGTTTGGCGGGTAAACTATTTGGTACAATATCGCCATATAATAGCTTTTTGACGGTACCTAACAGCGTTGTTTTTTGTCGTAAATTTGTCCCCACAAGGATTAGGGGTGTGCAATGGTTGTTGTTTATGTTCATTTCAGGTTACTTGTGTCTGATTGGCGTACATATGGAAAGTGGTGGGCGTTAGGCTGAAGCACAGCATAAAATAAAATTAATTAATGAGGAGGTCTAAGTTGAATGATAAAGCATGATTAAGAGTGAGCAGTGATGAGATTTAAGTTGAATGATTAATAAGCATCTTGTAAGTTTATAAAACAATTTACTGTTATGTCTTAAGTACATTTTATAGCAATACATTTATTTTGCTTCAAATTTCAACCTGGTGTCGTCTTTAGGTTTGTATTAGACAGAATACCTTATTATCTCCGTTAAAAGTACTGAAACAAATGTTTACGTGACATGAAAAGGCAAGTTTTTATTTTGGCCGGTAAAAAATATGTTTGGCCGGTGGATTTTTTCATCTACCAGTCCCATTGGCAGGTGAGCCAAAAAGTTAATTTCCACCCCTGAGTGTGGATATAGCCCTAGACTACTGAAACACATGCCATTTCACAGTGTCGTCTGTAGACTTGCTGTTTTTGCACGTACCTGCAGCCCTATTGATACATATAATCTGTTTATTTTTACAAATGGGGTTATTAGATTACACATTTAATCCGGCTGTCACTCACTTTGTTATCTTCACCTCTATTTTCTCTTCATGCAACTCCAGAATTGCATCTTCTCTGTCTCTAATGAGAAATGTTTTCTTGCAATCTTTTGCTTTATCTTTAATTTATCAAAATAGTGAGCAGATTGGAGAAATGCAAACACTGTGACTATGGCTCCAAAGCATTTTATCACACTGTGATAAGATGCACTTACTAAATGTTTATGAAATTGCCCAGATTGAAAAGAATCTTCTTGGGAATAGTTGATATTGCAACAAACAGTGCTGATACAAAATGGCAGGGAGCCTAAATGGGCATAAAGTGTCTATAGTGTCTGTTATTAGAATATCCCTCAGTGTTTTGCTGCCCTAACAGTGTCAAGGTGCCACTGTCAATCTGTCTCTCTGACACTGTGCTGGCCTGTCTCCATCTGTCTCCGTCCATCCGTCTTGACGCCTGTCCAACAGGGTAAATCAATTCTTTGCTCGTTCTGTTTGTCGTTCTGTCTCTGGCTGTTTGTTTGTTCACTTTATCACCGTGTCAGCCTCTCTGTCACTTTATTTCTGATTCTTTCATCCATTCATTCATCCAGTCTATCCATTTGCTCGGATGGAGCTGAGTATGTGGTTTTACTCTGATTCCATCATGTTTCGGGATTTTTACATGTGCAGATGTCCATTTTTATGCCCATCCTTGGCTGCTTCCACTAGATGTATTTGGGCTGTCTGGAAAGATGG